CTCTCTCTCTCTCTCTCTCTCTCTGTTCCTCCCCCACTCACACTGTCTCTGTCCCTCTCAAAAATAAACTTAAAAAAAAATTATAGAAAATGCAATCTCATGCTAAATTTTTAAAAAAGATTTCATTTATTTTTAAGTAACCTCTACCCCTGATGTGGAGCTCAAACTACTGACCCGAGATCAAGAATTGAACGCTCCTCCAACTGAGCCAGTCAAGCACCTCATATTAAACGTTTCTAGGAACTGTTTCCACGTAACTAAACGAGTATTCCGCATGATACTGTCATTCGAAATAGTTGAGCAACCACCCTGCACTGTCCCCCAGCAGCTGACGGGGACAAGGACTCTGCCCAGGAGGGTTTTTGGGGACACGAGTCCTGATCAGAGGATGGAGGGGGCCTGGCAGAGTGACTCCAGCAGAGGATGCGGTACTGAGGGCTCTGTCCTGCAGGGACCCCCCAGGAAGGCCACGGGAGGAGCCTCAGGCTGTGCAGCCGAGGCATGGAAAAGGGACATTTCCCTCCGCCAGCTCTTGCCCCGGGGGGTCGTGGGCTGCCCACCCCCCCCAGGTCCCTGGCTCTCCCGTGTGTGCGGGGCTGAGCGGCGTCCCAGGTAGACGCGGCAGAGAAGCAGTGGAGCTGACACGGGTGCTGTGTCCTACACCTGCTCACAGATGGTTTCCATGGCAACAGTCACAGCACCCCCCCACGGGATGTGAGGCTGTGAGGCCAGGGCCTGAAAGCAGCCCACACGGCGCCCCCTGTGGGAGGCAGCTGTTCATTCCAGTCTCCGGTCGCCACGAAGGAGGCGGCTGTGAAGTGCGGCACAGTCCCCAAGATCCCTGCCCGACTCGGCTTAGGTGTGATGCCATGAAGGACGGGGCGCTGGGCACCAGCATCCTCCCTGGTGGGACACACTCCCCGGGGGCCCCTGATGCCCGCCCTGCCTGAAGGCTGACCCTTGGTGGGGGCTTGCCAAACGGACTCACAGGAGGCTGGTCTCCATCCCACAGCTCAGGTTCAAGAGCACAGGGCGGCTGGACGGAGGTCATGTGATGATGTAAATCGGCCCTGAAATTGTAGCTGCTTCCACAGAGGCCGTTTGGTCACAGGGGTCAGGGTCTGGCTTCCCTGTGGTGGGATTGGGGGGTTCCCATGCTCTTCCTGGAGCTGACTTATCCCTACTTCTATGCTTAGAAAAAACGAATGTTGGGGCGCCTGGCGGGGCTCAGTCGGCTGAGCGTCCAACTTCAGCTCAGGCCATGATCTCGTGGTTCCTGAGTTCAAGCCCCGCGTCGGGCTCTGTGCTGACAGCTCAGAGCCTGGAGCCTGCTTCAGATTCTGTGTCTCCCTTTCTCTCTCTCTCTCTCT